TTTTTTTTTTTCTACTTTGAATGACTCAAATCCAATGTCAACGACGTCCCTATGAAGAAATCCACTCCTTCGACCTCGTCTAGATCCTCAGGGAGAAGCCGAACGACAGTGCGATGAGGTTTCGCGAAGTTCTTGTCGGCGATTACCGAGTCGAAGGCGGCGTCGGGGATGGTGGTAGGCGGGCCGCTGAAGGGGTGGTGGCGGGCGCGAGGACCCGCGTAGCCCTGTGGGATCCCGCAATGGTAAATTTTTGGGAAGGTCTTATGGTTCCGCCTCAGGCGGCGACCGATGAGATGAACACGGTTGTTCGGCCAAATTGAGACTATCACGATGGTAATAGAGATTTGTTTTTCTGTTTGTTGATAATTTTTAGGTTGAAAATTGTTTTTATGTTTCATCGACAATTTTATATTTTTTTTTTTGGTAATTGAGAATTGTTTTTATGTTTCCTTGATAATTTTTATGTTGTTGTTTTATTGTTACCTCATTGGTTTTTTTGCTCGTGGTAAGGAAACTAAATGAGATTACTATTAATGATTTTTTTAGTTGTTTTGTGTAATCTTGATGAATTTGTTACAACTTTTTGTTGTTCCATTCATTTATTTATTTATAAAACTGAATTTGTCAATATTTTATTATTGATTTATAGTTGTTTTTATGTTGCTTGACAAATCGTATATTATTGTTTTGTTGCTAATCTTTTTTTTTTTTTTGTTTCCATAATTTTTGTCATCAATTTCTAAAGTTATAATAACAAAAAATTTGTTGTTTTTTAGTTAATTTAATTATTATGTATGTTATTCTTTTATTTATATTATATCTTTTTGGTTGTTTTTTAATTTTTTTCTTAGGTATTCATGTTTGGAGGTGAAGAATAAGAAGAAATCTATGGAGAAGAGAAAAAGAAGAATTAGGAAGAAGATAGAAATGATGTGGGGAAAAAAGATTGGAGAGAGAGAAGAGAAATATAGAGAATGAAAAAAAAGAGACGGGAGACAGAGAAAGAAAAAGGAAGAGAGAGAAAATAATATTGCATCTTTATTTATTTATTTATTTATTTTGTGTCTGCCTATTTTTGTCTAGTGTTTGGAGTAATTAGGTATTGTGTATGACTTGTAACTGTAATGTAAAATCATTATAAAAAAAGATCAGTTATAAAATTTTCCCATATTAACAAGAGATCTATCTAATTGGATATTAACAAAAACAATCAAAAAAATGTGATTAATAGATGAAACTTGGGGCAACAGTTGAATCTTCAAGTAAAAAAGAAAAAGGGGATAAAGTAAGGATATAAAACATTATTTAAAAAAAAAACAATGAAATTGAAATCAATTAATTAAGATATATCAAAAGAAAACACAACACGCCAGCATTCTGGATGAATTAAAACCTAACTTTTAAAAAAAAAAATAAGATGGCCTTGTTTGGTAATTAGTGGTTAGCTGTTAGCGGATTGCATTAGCTGCTTTGATCAGCGGATTGCATTAGTTGTTTTGACTAGCTGATTGTGTTAGCAGTTTGTAAAAAAAATGTTTGATAAAATTAGTTGATTGTGTTAGCGGTTTAAAATAAAAATAATTAATATTTAAATATTTATTAAAGTGATTTTAAATATAATATAAATAATAATAAAATAAATTTTTTTAATTGAGTAATAAGTTCACGTCATACTTATTAAAAAAAAGCAATAAAGCAACACAATTAAAATTTATTATTATGCACAATTTAAAACATGATGAAATGAAAAAAAAAAAATAAAGCGTAAATAGTGGCCTAGGAATATGCTAAATTAGCAAAACAAAAGCAAAAAGTGTAAAAGAAAAGAAAAAGGTACAAAACGCTCATCACAAACGCTGCAAATCATAGCGTTTGCAATATTGGCGTTTTCAGCCCATAAGCTATTTTAAGAAGCTGTTTTACCAAACAACAAAACAATCAATATTAGCTTTTTTGATTTTAGTCAAAACCGCTATTTTAGCGTTTTGGCCAAAAAGCCAAAAAACAAACAAGGCCATATCAAATAAAAACACAACACGCCAGCATTCTTCATTGGATGAATTAAAACCTAACTTTAAAATAAAAGAAAAAAAAAGAACCTACACTTGCACGTAACTTCCAAGAAAATAAAACCAGACAACGTTCAAGCACACTCGCAAGAAAATGACACTGTGATTGAGCAGAAATAGAAAGGAAAACAAAAGGTTCAAATCAACCTACATTCACCAAAAAAGTGCTAATATTCAGATAAATAGACAACTGAAGTGAACATTGATCATGAAGGAAGATGCAACAAACAAAGCTTCATACGATACATGCAATGTTCGACTCCCCACACCCTAGAAGTTTCCTAATTTGCATTCCGGCTCCTGTTTGCAGTTGGTTGCCCTGCAGGCCATTGCTGATTAGAGTGTGAATATTCTCTTTGTATTGGCTCTCCCTGAGCAGGTATTGTCTCACGACGTCTATCGTGCCTTGGGCGGGGCCGTCTGCTCGTACTTTGTCTCTCAGTAAACCTATATTGTGGCCTGTGAATGACTTTCCCATCAACAAAGAGATCGCCTGCAAACAAATTTCACGAATTGCCTCAATGACATAAAAAATAACCTTTGACTGTTATGAAAGTACTTTCATATATAAATTCAGCTAACCTCCATAGTCCTTATTGGGAACATCGAGATATGAATCGGGCAATACCCACAGAACACCCGGTAGACCTATTGTTATGAAAACAATGCACAAATGTCAACTGATTGGGTCGAACCCCAAAAAAAGACACAGTTAATGATCGAGTGAACATCAAATCAAAGCTGAATGATCTTATGCAACAAAATTTCCAATAGGGAACCGTGAAAATATAAGAATAAACCAAAATACATCGACATGAATTTAAAACGATAGGTTCCCAAGAAATCATCAAAGTATATCAAGAATCTGAAAGAATGAATAAGTCAGATAATTCTGTGATACTTTAAAAGTTAGCCAAATATTCTCAAGTGGAAAAGTATGAGCCAGGAGATTTTCATTACCTTTGACTTTGTACGACAGCTCCTCTGAGATTAAGGCTCCGAATCCAGTGTATGTTGTCGTACAAACAGAATATATCTTTTGCTTTGCTTCCTCTTCACTGCATATCCAGCAAAACAATAAACATGCATAAATCAACTTCACAAAATATTGTTCTCATGAATCAAACTTTTCAAGAAATATGAAGCAATACACTGGCCCCGTTTCCATATACACCAATATTACAAAATCAAAACTACTTTCTTCCTTCACTTGTATAATATTTTGCCCACTAATTCGAGGTAGCAGCCATTTTGCTA